TTTCCCCCCCCCTCGGGGGGGGGGGGGGGGGGGGGGTTGGTTGTTGGTCTTACCGGTGAATCGGTGAAGAAATTATAGATCATGACGTCATCAAATTCTAGTCCCTTGGCCTCAAATATTGTCAGGCACAATGCTTGCTTAAGTTCCTTTGGTAACTGTTCTTTCGTCTGCTCGTTTGCAACAAGAACAACCTAACACAAAACATGGAATGTGTACTGCTTTACATTGCATATCATAATAAATTCTATTATTATTATTATTATTATTATTATTATTTGAATCATGATTGTCAAGTACTATATTCTAAAGTTTTTGATACTTTTTCATAACGTTACATATTAAAAAACATTTTTGCAAAGGAATAATGGCAAAAAAAATACTTTTGCATTTGTCATTTTCCATTGGTCTATGAGGATCTATTAACACTATTTTAGACAGGGCATGCGTATTGAAAACACGAATTCCATAAAACTATAGGAAAATACATATTATAATTTATTATAGTACACACGCTAGATATAATATAGCGTCAAGAGAATTATAACCTCCTCTACTAATAAGATGAAAATATACTGTCCTATCACCTGGTTAGCTCCGAACTCTATTTTTGTTGTCGTCCGTTTGTTTCCACGAAGAATCACAGCTAAATCCCTGATGCTACAAGAATCCAGTAATATTGGTTTAGGTCCATTAAAAAGTCCTTGATCACGCTTAAGTTGATCAAAAGAATTCGGAAAGAAAAAAACGAGGAGATCCACTACGCTAGCTGCCAACTCCAAGATTCCTTGAATAATTCAAAAACACTAATTTTATTATTGTTGAAGTATCACTACAATAGGAGAAGAAAATTAGTATGTTGTTTGTTTATCAAATGTCTATATATGATGATAAAGGAATGAATTTGTAAGCCTTTCGTTATTTTAAGCATGCATACTATTGTCAGGGAACAGTGAAATTATTATTTGTGTACTTAATAGGCATTTTTTTTTAATAAATTAGAAATTAAGACAGTTACTGTTTTAGCTTTACTGTCAGTTATATTGGCAGCCGTCAGTCCTTACAGACATAGTATATGCATTAACGACTGTTGAGGCTGTTACAGCTTGTTATCTGTGTGACTTTCACGTCCGCTTATTTCGCAGCATTTTAGAAGTTGCTGGCTTGTGTAGGCTTATTATTCTGTTTAAACGTTCCTTTTTTTACATTTTTGTCTGGACTTTTTGTATAGAAATTGCACTTCTATGATTAAATATTACTTCTTGATCGGTGTGCTTTACCGTTAGCTACATTCCAGACTTGACTCTGCTTTTTTAAAGCAATGCATTGTTTTAAATGCTTGTTTTAAAAATAATGTCAAATGTTGGGGTATGTATGCATGTGTGTGTTGTGGGGATGCGTAAGTGTACTAAAATCAATGTATTTACCAGCATGAGATCTGTAGTTATGGGTCAGTTGATAAATCGTCTTAGGCACTGTCACATAAGGGCGTTTACCTAATGTCTTCATAGAACTTCTAGCGTAGTGGAAGAGAGATTTGATATCCTCAAATCGGAAGGCAATACCGCGCATAATACTTTGAGCTGTATCCCCTGAAAGAACAAAATAGTGATAATGAAAAGACCTCTTTCAATACAAAAACAAGGTCACAGACAAATAGCCAATTTATCTCCACTTTAACAGCCCACCGTGTGCGTAAGATTTTTTTTCATCAATTAGCAAGATCACTTTTTTAGTTGGAAATCCCTATCACCTTTCATTCGTTTAATTTGCCAACCAACAGATTATCCTTGCACGAATTATAGACCATATATTGTGATAATAAATATATTTTACGCCACATCGAAATATATACGTTTAATCACATGCAACTCATGCACCATAAGTACTTATGAAACTACACGAACCCTCTCAGATTCCACATAAACCAACATAAACATTAATTAGAAACAATGCTCCTGAGAAATTTTAAATGATTTCAGAATTGTATTGTTAATATCCGTATGCCATTATCAACCAAATTTTGACTCTACTCATCTTCTTCTCTTGAACTTACACACACGGCCTTAATAAAGATCTTGACTTGGTATCCATCGTGTCCCTAGTTTCACTCTTTCGCACCTCATCGTTTTCACTGCTTTGGGTTTCTGATTTTCAATAGACCGTATGTAATATACGGTAAACCTCTGTACTGCTTGTACATTGATAAGTAATGTTTATAATAAAGATTCATTTTAGGTATATCTTAACTTAAGAAAACAGGGACTAGAAAATGTATTGCGCGAAGAACTTTGCAACAGTATAGTCAACATTTTGAAGAAAAAAATTAATGTAACTAATACGCACGTTAAATTGATGTGTGCATGTTTGTGTGGGGTGTGGGCGTGTGTTTAGTAGACTTAGGTGAGGTTATGTAAAAATATGCGTTAAAATACCAGTTAGAAAGAGTGCATTCGGATCGCTACAGCATCGGATTAGCAAGGCAAGCTCGGCTTGGGTGAAGTCTTGTGTTTCATCAACATAAATCTGGTGAATTGCCCAATCTGGTACCTCCACATCCTGCAGCCGTCTGTAGATGTTGAATACCACATCAGCCTCATCAAAGTACATGTGTTGCCTCTTCATATGCTGTAAGAAGCATATTATTTTGCCACAATAACTTGTCATAATGGTTGTGCATCACATTAATAAATAAAACTAGGCCTACACATACGTAGGTTTGACATGACAGCTGTATGGCATTTTAAGTGCAACAGTATAGAATTTCAAATTCAAGTTTTCCCTTCACTTTTTGCAAAATGTATTGGATTGAGCTTTATATATTCTAGCATAAGATCAATATTTGCCAGTAATCTGGACCAAATTCTTCTCGTTAAAAGTAAAAATACTGAAAGTATATAATAATATTTCAAATAAACCAATATGAAATTCAAATCATTGACAATATTAGCTTTCAACCTTTCAATAGATGTCATCAAAACTTTGATGAACTTCTGAAGAAGGTAAAACAGAGTAAAGAAAAAGTGCCAATAATTGATAATACCTACTTCGTAGTTTTTGAAAAGCTCAAAAACCTCACTTCGATCACCAGTAAAATTTGTTGCCCTCTTCTTGCCTATTTTCTGGTAGTCTTCTAAATTCAGCATTCCATTCACTGTGTGTAGCGCTTCTATTGAGCCTACGGAACATTACTAATTAATTGCATATGTTTTGCTTTCATTTGAAGAAGATAACACTATAAGAAAAACAAGCCCAAGTCCAAAATGCTCCCGTAAGTTTAGATTCTGTAATTTGTCTATTTATATAAACCTAATAAGTTATTTTGTTTTAGTTCAATACTTGTGTGGGACAATTTGCATTAAAATGCATAAGAGTACCGTTTCTATTATTTATATAGAAACAGTGCTTTTTATGCATTGTTATGCATAAATGTACTGGGTTTTTTTTGTATTTATATAAGACTTTTATGGGCTGATAGTTTATTTGGATTTTTTGTTGTAGAAATTAATCTGTTAATTAGTTAAAAGTTTTTGTATATATTTGGAAGTAAATAAATTATTTAATCATATAAATAAAATTGACTGTCAGTTTAAGATTTGTTTACAATGTCTTATGAGACGTCATAATTAATATATACCTTTAATGAAAGATCTGAATTCTATCCATACCAAGGTTGGATGATAGTTCAATCTTTTCTTGTTGATCTTTGTCCAAAAATGACTTGCGAACACCTCATAAGTTACTTCACGTCGGACATCATACTTGGCCTTTTCTCTTTGTACTTTCTCCTCAATATCAGGATCAAATTCTCTTATATCCTCTTCGCTATCTTCATCATCACTATCCGAGTCGTCCTGTATCATTGCAAGAGGTAGTTGCTGATCATCGTCTATAATGTAAATTATTACAGAAATAACGAAAATAAACACTTTTCGTCATAATATCTTAAAATATTTGATAATTCCCAGCAGAAATCACAGTGATATTACTACTCTGGCGGAGGGTCTACAAATAAAGATACGTCATATCACAACCGCCAAATGATTATGCTATTTACATCATTTTCATTGAGTTGGAAAATAAAATTACCAACTTCACGATGTCAACACACGGGACTACCACTTTAAACTTATATGATTGAGTTGTGTTAATGTCTATAAAATATATACCGTTAACAATTATATTACCCCCTTGCCATCCTCGTATGTTCTTTTTAAGTGAGCCGTCAGGCTTGCGTTCGAAGAAGGGTCTGCCCGGTAGAGACGCATCAAGCATTAACAAAAATTCTTTGGAGTTGAGAAAGTATGGGAAGGCTGCTGTAGGAGCGTCTTGAAGACGATGTGGATGCTGTTGATTTTCAGCTTTTATGTAGTGAGATGCCACATTACAACCATGTGCAAATTCACGGAAATTCTTCCGCACTTCACTACACAAGACTCGGTTTTTGGTGATGAATAGCTGATGAAGGTGATCATAGACTTCGTTTTTGTTCTCAGTACCATCTTGATTTGACGCAGCTCCTTCAAAAACATCAGTATGCATCATCGCTGACTTATTGGTTTTGCCTTCTGAAAATGTATTATAAGTTCTTAGAATAATAAGATATTTATAAAACATCATCCTATAGAATGTAATATAAATAAAGTATTAGAGCATAATAATATTGAATATTAATACAATAATGATAATAATAACAAGGACGGGGGACGGTATAAACTACCAAACGTCTACGATCCACTGTTACGGTCAAGTGAGTTATTTTTTGTGTAGTGAACATAAGTTCAAAAAATGTAATTACTATTATTACCAACAAAGATGAGCTTTCATACTACTACTTCTAATAATAATTGTAAGAGTGGTAGTAGTAGTAGTAGTAGTAGTAGTAGTAGTAGTAGTAGTAGTAGTAGTAGTAGTAGTAGTAGCAAGGGTGGCGCCAGCGCGAGGGCCGGGGAGGGCTGGCCCCCCGTCGTGGAGAAAAAGCTTTGTCCGGGGAGAAAAAAAATTATATGTATTTTTTACATATTATTAGACTCTAAAATCGATTAAATAAGCCTTTACCCCTAAATTGTCGAAATTTTCAGGGCTTCGCCCCCTGGACCACTTTCGAAACCTTTTAATTGAAGCTCGACCACACCCACTTTGCTTTCGTCGGGGAAATCTGACCCCTCGTCGGGGCATCAGCCAACCCGTAGGGGACCTCGGCCAAATCCTGGCGCGACCCCTGAGTAGTAGTAGTAGTAACAGAAGTAATAAGTAGTAATAACAGAAAAATCATTATTGTCTTCATTCTCCTCTTCATCATCATTACCATCGTCACCATCATTATATCATCCTCATCAGGAGCAGTACTAAGCTAGGCATAACGGGAACGATATTTATAAATAAATGGAGACATGCACTTTTAACATACTCTTTCTTCTTAGCTCAAGTGTTTTTTTTTTACAACAATGTTTAGTTCTATAAAAGTTTTAATACAAATATAGTTTAGCTCAAACGTTAAAATGGCAATGCCAACTAGGAAACAGGCTTTTTAATTTACCTAATAATGTCTTATATGCGGATTCTTTTGAATGATGGAGAATCAAATCACGTGGAATCCGTGGATTACCATCACCTGCAGCGTTGTTCCAATATGCCACAAAGGATGACCAAAGTCGGTAAAGACAACATGTTGTCTTTCCTAAAATATGAAGATTCAAGAATCAAGATTTACAATTCCATTTATTGTGATATACAAATTCAAGTACAGTACATGAAATTTGTTTTCAAACGAATACACAATATATATGTACAAATTAAATTTCGAGACAAACAGATATAAAATTATAAAAACAGTGAAAAATATTATACTTCAATTATAGTTAAATTCATAATATACATTCAGTACAGCAAAAGACGGTCTAAATGAATAGACCTTTCCGGAATGTCAATCAAACTTAACAACTGACTAATCAGAAAATCACTAGGAATACGCGCGCGTCTCACAAACACACGTGTTGTCGCACAAACGCACGTGTTCGCCTATGTTTTAACACTGTCGCCTTGTGGGACCTTAGCAACCGTATCCAAGGGGCGGAGCTTAGCGGAAAGGTCTATTGCACGTCGTAGAGGTAAATGAGTATGATTTTATTAACTGTAGAGAAGTGATTATCTGGCAAAAACTTTTACTTGCTTTTACACTAGGTTGGCAAATATACGGTAATAAACGTTAAACAACGTTTTTACAGGTAAAAGTGAAAATAAATTAAAAATTAGAAATTAAATTTCACTGTTCCTTGGTTGTAATTAACTTCGCCTTCCAGTTAATAGCGTTTGATCACTTCTAGCGTAGAATACTAAGATCTTGAACTAAAGAACATCCGTTTTTAGCTTCATAATTAATACACAAGGCACTTAGCGCCAACATTCAAAACCAACTGCTAGAATCGCAGGCTGCTTTTAGCCTGGGGTGCGAAACTGACTGGGGTTCAAACATTGAAAATGAAACTTAATCATTTTTTTTAGTATTTTAACCCACTTGGTGGAATTAATTTGCTGCCAACGGGGAAGAAAACTTACTCCCATGTGTTAATTCTTACTTTTTAATTATCTAGCCCAGAATGCACTATAAACTGGTTTTATGAACGTTGTTAAATTGATAATAATACTACCTGTACCACTGCGTCCAAGAAGTAAAATAGAACATGGTGGCTGTGGGTTAATGTGAATGATGGCATGTTCTTTCTCTGTTACACGGAATGGGAAATCGACTCGTGTTCTGCTGTCTTGGAAGATTTTATTTACAAGACTTGCACTAAAGCTGTAGAACTTCACTACATTGTATTCCAATTCGTTTGAATTTGCTGGAGGGAAAAAATATGGTTTTTTGCTTGGCATTTCCGATTCATCTTCGGAAATATCTTCTTCGTACACACTTTGCGTCTCTGCATAAACAAAAATCATACCACAATGTACATTACATCATGATTACATTATGCGGTTTTAATCGTAAAAATGACAAATTGATATTATTATTATTATAAACGTTATCTATCATATTGTTTCTTTACTTGGTAACACTGGCAGCGCTACCAATAATATTTCAACTTTGATACACATATTTTAAATACTTCAAAGGCGTTAAAACATCCGATATGTCTTTCACTATGATCATTGCATGAAGAGACATACGTCTACTGTACAATGCCAACAATCGTTCATAGAAACCTTGTCCAATTGATTTGTCCTTGATGCATTTCAGTTTCTTCTGGATAATACATGTATGGCCACGATCAACAGATTTCACAATCAGTTGAATTTCTCGCTGTACGTTATCATTGTCGAGAACCACATTCCATACACGAATGGCATCAGTGTAAATACGGCCACTCGCTACCCCTTTATTTTATAAAGAAATAAAACTTTGTGTATAGTGTTATTAATAATGGCAGTCTATTACAATGTCACAATATTCATTATATAGTAGAGCTATATAAGGTCCTACTAAACCTTTCAAACCATTTAAAAAGATCATCGCATTAAGTTTGAATACCTAAACTTGGTCATTTATTCATTCTGACAATTGGAGAGTAACACTTGCACTATTGACGAGTTACCTGAACTAGATTAGTTTTTGATGCTCAACATTTTTAAAGAAAAATATGATTGAGAGAAAGTAGAGTAAGAGAACCGTAGATACAGAAAAAGAGAGAAAGCAGACAGAATTGAATGTAACTAACTAAAAAGGATCGTGAGATGCTGTTATTAAGATTATCTGATATTAGTCTCTGCGCCTTACCAATGTCAACCTAATGTAAAGTTATCACTCAAATTCGTCTATTAATTGTATTTAATAAACCTATTATTCCATTGGAGCCAAAAATCATGATAGCACAGACGATTATATTTTGATAACTTACGAAATGCCAAAATATTAATTAATTTTGATTGCATGGGCTATGTCAGTTTTTAATACTCTCTATCTATAATGATTTCCACCCTTTAAATGTACAAAACAGAGATAATTCCACCTAAATTCAATTGGTGTCCCATATTTCTGAATTATGGAATTAATTTGCTGTCGTTGTGGCAGAGGAATAAGGGACTTGTTTACAGGAACATGATCCCACAATCCTAAATCTTACCTGTTAGTCTTCCTTCCGAATGAACAACACTGTGTTCCGGCGAAAAAACAATAGCCTTCTGCCAGAGGATTCTTCCTCCACTGGTTACTTTTGCCATGTATATCTTGTGATCAACTGTTTTACATGAGACTGGTATTGCAAGGCTTTTTGACCAGTTTCCTTCCCCAAGACGGCGTATCTTGTTGATCACTGCCTTCTTAATTTTTTCTGGAACATGCCTGTTTCTCAGGAATTTCCAAACTTTTTCAGTACATTCAATTTCCCATGGTAGATTGTCAAAAATGGTAGAATCTGTTTCTTGTAAATCCAGAGGCTCTAATGAATAAAGATGATATCAGAAAAGAAACGGTACAACATCATTATAAACCAAAATACATATTAAATAATACGAAACATAAATTAATTGGTAAATATAGATAAAAGCTTATTTTTGAGGGCCTTAAGACTAATACCGTACGTGTTTAAAAGCGTGTTCATTCTGAAATTATAAATTGTTCACAAACCTCCACTTCTCCGTTTCTTTTCAGCTTTTCTACTTTCGTCATCGTCTTCCATCTCACTCTGTTGTCTCGTAGAGTGTTTTGAATTTTGCCTGATTACTGGTAGAACATCGTTAATTAGTCTAGCAATGTTTGCTCTCAATCCATATGTGCCTCTAGCATGCCATAGGGATGTTTCTCTTTTATCATGTTTAAATTTCTGTATTGAATCCGGAGGTTCTAACGGAGAAACATTTACAAGTGCACTGTGTGGATAGTACCGTGCTGCCTCCTCCAGGAATTGATATCTTCGGTCGCTTCTTTTAATTTGTGTGATTGGTATTTTACCAGCCTTATTTTTCAGGTACGGGTTCACTTTGTTTCTAGATAGGAACTTCACAGCCTCCAAAGAAACAACACCATCGCTCTCATTAAGTGCAATATGAAACAGTGAATCGGCGTCGTGCGTATTTGTAGATGTTGGATCCAGATAGCGGTAATTCATTGTTTTACTGTATTTATCCAAGAGGACATTCAGAAGATCCATTTTCTTATCTACGGAAAAATCATAATAGTGGTCTCTAGTCACAGTTGTTGTCAATAGTTATACAGTTTATATCTAAGGTGTTATTAAACTCTATTTGTTTAGATGGAAAAAAATAGGCTTCTGTAGGAATAGAACATTCAGATTACCGTCTTGGCACTGTTGACACCTCCAATGTAACAGTACTTTGCTCGAGGGACGGGATCAGACAGAACCTCATTATACATGCAATGGTAGAATATCAGTGATTACTCCATATCTTAATAGTCTGAAGTGGCAGTAGTAGCGCGCTTGTCACCAAAGATATTACAATTATTTTATTTGTGTACAAGAAGACATGCATCTGCCTGGTATTTCTTTTTCTTTAACTTTTTATGCACTTTTTCCCCCGTAAGCCATATGAAGCATCACTGTCGGATGGTGGCGTATAAACACTATTGTTAACGTCTAAAGACTTTTTTTTTTCAAAATTCTCACTAAGTGTTCACTAGGTATATTTACGCCACCTATCGACAGTGATGCTTCACATTAGATGCCTCATATGACTTACAGAATGAAGGGGTTTTCCGATGTGGGTTTACAATGTTATCTATAAATTAAATTATACAGTTTATATAAATACCTTGATGGTTTACAAGATACATCAGTCAGGATTTAGTTTGAAATAATAATAGAATATTTTCACGTTAATCATAGGTTGAGCTATAACAAATTCAAAATAGTTATGTAGATTAAACTTTTATATCACAATAATTTAATTTTTAGGTGTTTATTTTTTTTTCTATAAATTACAGTTACCAGGATATTAAAAACTGATCGAGAAAAGCAAAATTTGTATATACCTTTATATTTCAAACATATTCTAAGACCAGAGTGTAAAGGACTATCACCACGAACTTCAATCAGATCTTCTGGTCTTGCTTCATTTCTTATCAATGCAGTAATAATCAGATAGTGTTCATATTTCGGGACTCGAAGACAATATTTAACCGGAGATTCATCTTCACCTAGTAATCCATTTGGGTTTGCTCCATTCTAATGAGAGAAGCAGAAGAATAAATGAATGAAAAAATAAATAGTGAATGAATCATATAATAAATATACTTTCTGCTCCCTTAATAATTATGTTTGATCATTTTCATGTTTTTAACTAATATTTTGAATAGTAATACCTTCTGGATTTGTTCAATAAAAGTATTTAAACAATTATTTTTATATTTTGAATAATTACCGGTATTAAAAATATTGAAAAGCAAATTTTCCATTAACGCAAAAACCCCCCAAATTTCCCGTTAACAAACACGTCGGCAATATATCATTGTTAAATAATGAAAGAGGTATGACCAAGTGGGAGCCACTACGATTTTCTATGAATAAAATTTGATAGAAGGCAATTAATTGCGCACGCATGGAACAGAAGCAAGTTATATACCTTAATCCTAGCTAAGATTTGAACGTAAGGTATATATCGTTGAAGAAAATGAAATAATCACCGATAGAAGCAATTTGATCATGGAAAGGAAATCAGTATTAGGAAGCAGTTTATAAACAATGAGACAGAGTCAGAAAAGATAGGATTGACAAATACAGGGAGCTGACACGTAGCTTGGTGGCACATGGTTAAGATCACGACTGCTTTCCCAGTCCCTGCTGGGCCTTGTGATTAAATCCTGTTACAGCACAAGAGTTTTTCACATATCTGAAAAATATTTATTTTGTCTATGCCTCGTAATTTAATAACATCAATACATTTAGGCCTGTTACGATGGCCACTGAATATCAGCTCACCTTCTAAAAGAGTATTCATTCTGGTAAGTTTGGTGGTTTAAAGGGAAATTTTGAGTGCTTGTCTTTATCCTTACGATTTTTTTTTGTAATTGCAATTATGGTCTATTAAAAAGATTCTGAAATTGTGCATTAAATGACAAGCTTAATTTTAAATTATTTGTTATGAGTTCATAATTTTTGATGAACTTTTCAGTAATTCTAAAAAAATGTAACTCCAAAGAATAATAACTTGGCTGTACGATGAATATTGAGTGAACCATTCTTATAATGGTAACTGTGATAATCGTACTAGTTGATTTTAAAGTACTTACAAGAATAAATTTGTTTGAGAGATGAGTAAATTTAATGTTTAATATCGTTCATGCAGAACCATTAACGTGGTTGCAAGTTAGGGGCATAAAGTCACATGCACGTGCATACCCATATACTCACTTACATACACTACATAGCCACATAAATACAAACATAAAAGAACTTTACCTTCAGTAGAGCTTTGACAACTTCAATCTTCTCCACATTCTTAGTTCCTGATTTTAGACACCTTAAAATTGAAACTTGATATACACTGCAGCCTGTGGCAAGACCACCCATGCCATACACAAACTTATTTCCACCCCCATTTAATAGGAAAAATATCACTCTCCAACGATTTGAATCCTGAAGTTCAAGAATTGTTCTTTTCCAAAAGGAAGGATGAATTGAAAGTGTTACATCAGGGGAAATTTCTGAAACGAGTCAATGTATTTTCTCACTAGAGTATTCAACACCAACGATATTTTTAGCTTATATCACTTACCTATTCATAATATTAAAAAAAAAGTTTATGTTCAATAATATTAATAATAATAATAATTATGATGATGATGAAATAATAATCATAATGCTAAGAGAAGTATTTTTCATGGATTTATGTTCAAAACCGCAATATACGCTTTCACGATTCGTGATTTGTCCTCATAGAAATTGGAACGTTAGTTGGCCATCCCATCTTCCCCCTCCCCACACCGCAGTGCAGCACCACCTGATTTAACTAAAACATAACGGATAATTCGGACACAAACATGTTCTTTAAACTGCCTCCTAATGTGAGATAATTATTCAAGGAGACTGGACGTCAATAAAAATTCAAAGCCAGACGGCGTTATATAAGGTGTTTACGCCTAAATCTGCTGGAAGAGTACCTCTCAGCCAAAGCTCTACCATGAAAACGATGTATATTTCTTCTGTATCTTGTGTACTGGTCATTGTATTTTAAAATTTGTTTTTCAAAAATGAAATAACAATAAGTATATATATATGATATATATATATATTATATATAATATATATATATATACAGACACATATATATATATATATATATATAAATCATCAAAGAAAGGTAAATACAATGTTCGAATAAATGATAATAAATCGTGTAGCATAGCTCTCAACTAATGTGTTCCTATAAATAAATAAATAAACAAATTGTGTAATATAATATCAAGGCGAGCGTCATAACTATTAATTAGACCACAGAGGCTTCATGGTTCAACTCACTGTTCCCTGACCATGAAGCCTATGTGGCCTAATGGTTATGACGCACGCCTTGACAGCGAGAGATTGCAGGCTCAAATCCCGTCAGGGAAATTTTATTACACAATTTCTTTATTTATCTATTTATTTATAGAACAACATTCATTAAGAGTTATGCTACACGATGTATTATCTAGTTCTTTATTCGAACTCTGTATTTATCTTTCTTTAATGATTTATATATAAATATACAATAATATAAATAAAATATAATAATATATAATAATAATATGAAGTAATATATATAACATATAATAATAATTGATAATAATAATAATAATAATAATAATAATAATAATAATAATAATAATTAATAAACTATAAGAAATATCTATTACTGTTTTAGGTGATCACTGACACGACAAAAAAAAAGATTATTAATTTGATTCAAATTGATACTACAAAAATTGACTGTATTGAGAAAATTATAGACCTACCCTTGAGATCTGGGAATTCTAGAGTGTTCATAACTTCCTCTTTGCACTTTTCAACTAGTTCTGACAGCCAATAAAGGTATAACATCGACGAACTAACATTTTCGTTTTCTATACACTCGAAAAATGCTTTAAGAGCTTGATCATATAGTTTCCGTTTTTTCAGGTCACAGCCTCTTTCATAATTGGTATCTTGGCCTGCTTTAAAGAAAAAAAAATCGTTGGAATGGCAATAGCATTAAATTCCAATGGTCGTAAAACATATATCGTGACGCATGGATTAAAAAATGGCAATTTTCCTAATTTTGACACTTACTTTAGCCGAGCCCTAGCATGGATCTTCAATTCCGGTTCCACATACCGGATGCTAGCTTATTTGTCTCCTCCAGTCCAGAATATATGTTTCAGTAAATTTAAGAATGTTAATTTTTATATTATTCTTGTTTGTCTGCCTCTGCTAAATCTATAGGTTGTGGGTTCCCAGATAATAAGCTGGCTGAACGGAGTTCTGGATGACAATGATTGTCCTGTCAGTACCATTCGCCTCCACACAATCTTTACCCCAAAATTTGATAGGGGCCCCATACAGACATTGTCCCCATCAGTATTCTTAATTCTTACAGAGACGATGGTGATCGAGGCAATAAATAAGATTAAGGAAGGTGTAAACTGGGAAACTGCTCAAAAGTTAATAATAATGATGATGATAATAATAATGATTAATAATAATAATAATAATAATATTAATAATAATAACAATAAATTTGCAATAGTTTTTCTTATATGTGGTTTTTAATTCAAATTTGATGTTTTATAATCTTGTTTAGTTTAGTTGTTTATGTGTGATTTTGTGGTTTCTGTGGTGCAAATCTGTTTTTTCCCTTGTAATTTTTATTCATATTTTGACTTGCTTTTTATACATTTCATCTCAATTCAGCTCTGTGCTACTGTGATATTTTGAAATAAAGATACCTTGATATACATTATTAATAAATTCATATAATTCGTTGGTATAAGTAAATATTTAGCCTATTTAAAAAATTGTGGTTATTCTCCCCGACGGGTGCCACCGGCACCACCCCTGGAAAAGTTAGAAGCCTGGTTTCTATGAAATCGCGTACCTGTTCACGGCGGTGGTCATGGATACAGAAGATGTTTTGACAAATAAGTTCCATGCCTTATATTATTACAATAACTGTTTATCTATGATTTACTTTTAATCAAAACGACTGATGGTTCAATAACTTTAAACCTCTTATCGCGTCGAAATAGTCAAAATAGACGTGTAGGTATCATGAGCAGTCGAGATAACAATGATGTGATGCCATCTAAATTCGGTTGATGATTGATTAGTAGCTACAATTCTGCTAATAGCGCAGATTGAAATTGTTTAAAAGTAAAAAAAAAAATATAACTGGCAGGAAATGTAGACGGAAATGTTTTAGCCCAGCGACTTCATAGACACTAAGCTGAATTACAAACTAGCAATAACATATTTCCATATTACCAATTTTAGAATTATGGCACAAATTTTTAACCCATAAGTAATAATTATAATTTTTATAATATCGACACTTTTATACCAATGTGTACCAAAAATGTACGTTGTAAATATTTAATAAAACACAAATATTGAATACAATGACAATAACTACATATATTCCGCTTGAAAATATTATTACAAAACAGTTATATATTTATTTTAGCATTACTAATGTACAATCGGAAAACTTACTCATGGCACACTGGTGGTGGTACTTCGGAGGAGCACTTCTGACTGGATGATCCTGGGGGCAGAAATGGTCATTATTTCTACCGCTTGCCATCCTCGAAATTCTTTAAGTATTCGTTTACTGGACATAAATTAAATACATATCAAATGTAAACTGATTTAAGCACAAGTTTAAAAAAGAAACACAACCTATTGATGATAACCCAAATTAGTCAATTTACTTATGTAAGTGAAAAAATTATGGGAATTTCCCGAATGAGTATGTTGCAAAATGTTCTTGTTGAGTATTGGTTGTTGCGAAATCATGTACTTCAAACTAATCTTCGGGCGATTCTATTTTCACTTGGGATATTTACTATCCCATAGTCGATAATTTTGAAAATTCTAGCAATGCAAGTAGTAGTCTCCAGCTCAAAAATGTGTAAATTATACCTGATGGATAAGTATTTTATAATTATTTGTAAACCGAATTTAAGCACATTAAATAATAGAAATGAGTTTGTCACTAACAGTAACTATCGGTTTCCGCCCTATTATGTTGTTTTTATTACAAATGTCATTAACGTATTATCATCAAACATTTTTTTAAATATTATTATCATAGAATAAAAGTTTCCAAATCATACCTATCAAGTAAAGATTTCAACGAGGAAATAATTACGAATGAGATGAAGAATTACCGGCTAATATAATCTATGCAACAATCTCTGCATGCTTATGCATTGTTATAGCATATATTTAATATGTAACATTAAAACAAATTATATATTCTATTACATACGATTAAGAAATCATAATGAATCAGGAGTCTCAGATTTTTCTCCTAGGATTATTACCTTCTGTCGCACATGACTTCGCATTACTTATGGTCATAATTAATTTTACATTTAACACAAGCAAATAGTTCTTTATTTAGTAAGTAAATAATTTTATTGATTTAATTAATCCAGAAGGAAAATTTATTCCATCTTTTAGTAATTGTCAATTCTTTTTACAAAAAACTCCATCAGTATTAAATATCTGAGCTGCAACTTGCTGATACTTGATACTATAATGTTGCCATCGTCATTACGACAACCCCACCAAGTTTTTCACAGTCTCACTATATCAAACCCAACAAGCTAAGTAGTATTCATTATATAATTCTAGTCTATTGGGACTATGGTTTGACATCATTGAAGCTACCACTTATTGGCCAAGGCCATGGATTATTATGGCTGCATTGTATCTGTTTGATGATCACATTACTATCAATAGGAAAATTGAATGCACAGTTATTGAAAAAAAACTGTAGCGTAAACTTACATTTGATAGAGCATTCACCTTGACCCCAGATGGACCACTCAACAATCCCCTCCCAATTAACTTTATCACATGACCGTCCACTGTGCATATTTTTTATACATTTGTCATTACCATCATCAATGAATGCTAAGTTTCAATTATTAATTTTGCACATTCTATTAACGGATTGCTTATACTTGTAAATTTCATCTTCCCAAAATGTAGCTATCTTGTCCACACAATGTCAGTGAATTTTTTTTTCTACTTCGATAGTGTTCTCTAAACATTCCTTCACTATATTTATTATCACAAGAGATTGATCGATTGGTTTACTGCCAAAAGTAACATCCAGTTTGTAAACACCAGTACTTGTACACACAAATTTCACAACATTTTCGTCTTCATCAACATCTTAAACTCGAGCCATGCGGGTTTCTCCTGTACATTCTGTCAAAGTTGCCTTTAGTTGACGTGGATCTATTTCACATGTATCAACTTTGTCTAGTTTGATAGTTTTGTTTCAGGGGAGGATCCAGAGACGTCCAAAAGGGGGGGGGGGCGAAAGGGGGGCATAAAGTTGGGCCGATCGAGACAACACTGTCCTAGGGGGGCCTGGGGCTTGCCCCCGCGAAATTTTGGTGTTCTAGACGCCCGAAAATAACATTTGAGGCGTTCTGGGTTATCCTTTTTTTCTTTCTTTTTTCTATTTTTTTACCTCCCAAAAGGGGGGGGGGGGGGGGGGGCGGGCCGTCCCCCTCCTAAATCTGCCCCTGTGTTTGGTGTTGTGTCCCATGCAGTTTTCGCCCACACTCAAATTTTAAGCAATCTGTTATCTTTTTTCAGTTATAATTCCAATCCTATGCTGCTTTATGTCAGTAGTTGGATGCTTGTTTTAAACGAATGTCATGAATTCCTACTTGACGTATTTCCGAGCGGAAAGAAATGACTAGGAATCCCTCTTTGACCTATAAAATACAAACACAGCTCAGAATGTTGTAACACAACTCTCAAATAGACTCAACCGATCATCGAGTCCCCCCAATTCACCTTTGCGCCCCCCCCCCACCATCATCCCCCCATTTCAAGACATACGCCACTGACTTACATGGCCAGATAAATGAAAATGCTCAATCGATGTGCCACCAAATCGTAACCAGCCTTCACCATACCCTCACGATGTCACCGGGGACGCAACTGCTAAAAAAAACTATTTTTGGCAGCGAAGGGACGCTACCAGTAAACAATCAACAAACCACCAGGTTTCTGGGTTGAATTGCAAGGTACTACATGGCTCAACTATTTTTTACTAAGGGGTTAATTAGTAAACATCGCACACAAATCATACGACGTCAATGACAACGCCGGAGACGGCAACCGCGATTTTGAGATTAATTTTCCGAATAAAGTATATACTAAATAACTTCTAATGACGAACTATTGTCTTCAGTTGTATTTGTTGGTCATTCAACTGTCATTTTATCTATTTTTTCGGTGATATTACCATTATCAATAATCTATAAAACACCCACATAACAACGTCACGTTAGATCGAACGGTGGGGACACCGGTAGGGTCAATTTTCGTCGAAGGTATCAAGATGCTAAACAGTTTCATTGGACTAAATTCTTGCTTATGTTAACCACATGCTTACCTAAGATTATACTGTCACTGGTTTCAAATCACGGTCAAGTAGTTAAAAATCACCTAAAATCACCTTATTTTGCGAAATAGCACCCCTCAACTGATCATCAATCCCCTCTCTTCCCACTTCACCTTTCCTCCCCAATCAAGCCCCCCATTTCAATACATCTAGATACGCCACTTCGGTGGGGTTCCAGGGGCTTCACCCCCTGGAAGCCACGGATATTTGACGTATTATGGCGAATTTTTATTACTTATTTGATTGACATCGAGATACTATAATATGACGTCATGTAGGATCTGTTTTCTAATGTCGAAATCAGCTTCCAAACCCAAAACATTTTGAGTAAAACAAGAAACAAAGAGTTTGCAATGTAACCATCTAGTTTACTTTCAAATCCTCTTTCTTCATAGTGAAATTCTACATTTTGGAAATTGTGCACGAAATCTGTCAACCACGATGTCAAGGTCGAGGTTGCTTCCCCTATCGCGATGTATTCCAAGCATCATGAGGCTATCCAAACGAGCATTTGTCATAACAGAACGCAAATTATTTTTTTTATCATTGAACTATTATTATTATTATTATTATTATTATTATTATTATTATTATTATTATTATTATTATTATTATTATTATAATTATTATTATTATCATTATTGTTATTGTTATTGTTATTATTGTTATCATTATTATTATTATTATTATTATTATTATTATTAATGTGATGAAAACTTAATACAAATAGTTCAATGAAAACAATAATGGTGGTAACGAACATTACATGTTAACATTTTTTTTAATTTGTTTATTCCCCGACAAAATATACTCGTCTTCCCTGGCGCCACCACTGGATTCAATAATCTGCTGTATCCCTTGATGTGCCATTTTCGATAGGTAAATAAATACAAATTGTAACTTTAGATCACTGGTGAATATTTATTACATCGTAATTTGCATAACGAATTATTTATGAACTATGGCTTCCTACGATATCATTATTTATATATAATGGCACTCGACCTCAACAGTTATTTATATATAATTGGAAGTAAAAACCATTATTTAGATATAATGACCTTGACACGACAACACGTGTGCATTACATATAATGAGCAAGCATTATATAATTAAACCGTTTAATAATAAACGGTTTTCCGACAGCTATTATTTATATACTGTATAATGAAATGTAAAAGCTGTTATTTATAAATAATGAGTTTGAAGTCAATTCGTTATTTATATATAATGAAATCTGTGAACTTATTATATATAAATAATTGTAAGTTACTTTTCATTATTTATATATAATGGAATCAGTGAACTTTTCATTATTTATATATAATGGAATCAGTGAACTTATTATATATAAATAATTGTAAGTTATTTTTCATGATTTATATATAATGATGTGCTACCCCTTCCTTTTATATATAATGGAACCAAATAACCTTAACATATATAAATAGTGTTCGGTTAGTTTTTCATTATTTATATATAATGTAATCAGTAAACTAATTGTATATAAATAATGAAACGTTAACTCAATTATTTACATATAATCTTTTTGACGTAAATGCATTATATGTAAATAATTGTGTTAAATAATAAATTTACACTTTGCGCCTCATAGGAAACGCCCCTGTCAAACATTGAAACTTATCTTAGTGATTTATAATATTTTTATTCCATTATTTAGTGAACATATACACGTTTGTAACAACCACAATCACTAAGTGGTACGTTTTACTTACCTATACTCTCAACATGGGGAGTGCGCATTTCCCTTTAATTTTCGCGGTTTGTTTTTGCCATTTTCCCCCAATCTGAATTTGGGTCTGTATACTGTCTACTGTATACTTTATTGTGGAAGGCACTCTACAAATATCCTACCATTACCATTACCATTTCTCTGCTGTTCCTTTCACTGTACTGTACTAACGTAATTTGAATAATGAATTCTCACATGTGTTGCTTTTATAGCGTGACAAGTCCTCGTCCAATATTTTGTAGATTCGTAAAGTTGTTTTTTTAAAAAAATATTTTAATAAACATAAATAAGAAATTAGAATATGTCACTAATGGTAAGACATTTAAAAAAATGGTGCTAAGATATATTTCTTCCATAACTGTGCACACGTCTGGACGGTAAATCGTCAAAAACATTTTGTCCTTACTCAAATCAGTAGGCCTATATGTAATAATAATTGGAGATTGCTTGTTTGGTTCACCATCAGTGTTCACTAATTTTTCTACCTGCTCTACAGGGCCAGATCATCATTAGGGACTGCTGGTTATGTTCACCATCAATACTAACATCTAATTTATAAGAAAGAATTCCCACCTAATATTAAACGAGCGGTACTTGATTTCTTGCATCGAATAAGTATCGATTCGTAGCGGTCTTACGAAGATAAACCTATCGAAAAGTGACCTTATTTATATCCTTTATTAATGAATTCTAAAATTACATGCATTATATAGTGGTAAATATACATACATTATAGGTCTAAGCCTCGATAATATACTATAAATATAAGTGATGGTATTCATAACATAGAGGAATCCAATAAAAAGGTGGAGGCTATGATTCGATGTTTCGAACATTATTAGGTCGTCTTCAGGAATGAGAAACACACGCGACAGTAATTTCCAAAAATTCTAGAATATGCAAATGATGTAATTAACATATTCCCATTAATACTAACATCTACCTTGTAAACACTATGCTTATACACTCTCTAGTTTTAAAGCACAACGTATAACATATTTTTCTAAGTGGTTACATATATCCTCTACCTTCAGTTCTTTTATAATCTGCCACCTTTTTTAACTTACATTTCCAATTCCATTTTGTTTTAATTCAGTAATTTGCTGTTGGTTTTGTAAGAATTGAATTTCTTTCTTATCCATTTTATCTACATTATCCAATGAATTAATTAATAAACAACCACCAACGAATTTTGGCGGTTGCTTGATTTTTTCCTGCAATGCTGTAATAATCGTTTCACTTGATTGCATAGCTGTCACTTCATTACTTTTTAATACTTGATCAAGAACATTTATATTTGCTTCTACGTCGGATATTGTTGTTTTAAGTTCATGAATTTGGGCATCATTTTCTTTCTTTTTCTTTTCAATTTCCTTCTTTACTTTCTTTCTTAACTGTTTTCCATTTTTTCTGATAAGTTGGGCCATTACTTCAACATGACTGTCAATATCTCTCAAACACTTCTTTTTATTTTCTTCCAATTTTGTAGAGTTCTGAAATAGTTTAGTGAGGCCAGCTTGTATTGGGGTGATATAATTATTGGCAGCTTCTGTCAACTCGAAGGCATTCTCCTTAAATTCATTGAACGCTTCAGATATACTAATAGTCTTATGATTTCCGTCCCCCACGTTGTGGTCAGTAATAGCACAGTGCATACATATCACAGTTTTACAATTTCTGCAGTAAAACTTCAAGGGTTCATTGTGAAAGGCACACTGTTGGCGGTGTAAAGAAGAAAACTCTAATGGCGTCATAGATCGCACATCTTCTACTGAGTGTAGTATGTGACTTTTTAATGCGGGAAATCTCTTGTGATGGTCACAGCAAGTGGAGCAGATGTACAGTCTGCATTCCTGGCAATAATATGTTGCCGTTATGCCCTTTTCACAGTTACACTCAAATGATTCTCTTTTCTCCATCTTTTCAATACTTTCTAATAAGTTGTTGATAAAAGTGTTTGGTTGTAGCTTTTGAATCCCGCCTTCTGGAATAGGATATGATTTTGAGCAGGTTGGGCAAATTAACTCAGCTTTCGCATTTGCCCATTCTTCTAAGCATTCCATACAAAAGCTATGAAGACAGTTTAAAGACTTAGGCTGTTTAAGCCTCATAAAGCAAATGGAGCATTCCAATACTTTCTCTTCAATATCATCCAAAAATGTGTTTATCTTTATTTCAGCCATTTAAAATTTATTTTAAGTCTGCAGTAAGGTCTGAGAAAGAACAAGACAATAACGAATCTTTCATCTGTAAAAACAGATTGTTATAATATATGTATAATTATATATATATAATTATATATATATATATATATCTCAACTATTCAATAAACCAATCATTCAATTATTAAATAACCAACAGACGAATCAATTATTTGCAACATTGATAAAGACATTTTATAAACCTTCAATGATTGTACATCGTTTTTACATTATTCAAGCAATTAGAGTAATATATATATATATATATATATATATATATATATGTATATATATATATTCAATATTCAACTATTCAATTCAATATTCAACTATTCAATAAACCAATCATTCAATTATTAAATAACCAACATACCAATAAATTATTTAATAAAGAACGCAATCACCAATTAAAGAAACTAGGGATTAATACTTACTGAATTTGTACTCACTTTTGATAACTCTAGCCTCGAAGCTGAACAGTGTCATCAACGTGAATAGACTTGGCATAGCCCAATATGACTGTCCTCAAAGTTGTCCTAATGTGTTAGTAATTTCCGTTGTAGACCTAAGAGAAAATGGAAAGTGAATTTGAGCTATTAGTGATTTAACATACAGTAGTTCTGTTTTACAATCTTATTCCTCATTCAAACCGGCCCTATTACCCTTCTGTTAAACTTTCACAGCAGTAGCTCACCTAACTTGGTTATTTTAACAGTGTCATGTAAACCATGAGTTTACAATTATTCACTTTTGGGACCTATATGTTCATTGCTTAATGTAGTAACTGTCATTTCCTGCGACGATTTCCTGTACGCAGAACAATGCAGCAAAGGGTATTTAATTCGTTAGTATTGATCATCATTCCCTCAGACAAAATTTTCCCCACAAACTTAAGCTCCAACGAGCTTGTTGACGGTATAGTAAAACATCTTGATCAACCGTTGTATGTTGTTTTTCAATGCCATCAACAGTTGCTTAAATTTAAAATTTTAATTTAGGTATACGGCCGAAAATGTTTAAAATTAAAAGAAGGATGAGTCTTTTGCTATATCTGCCAAGGAAATAGTGGTTTTTCAGGGGATAAGGCACCCTTTTCTTTTTCTATTTTTTTTAAAAAGAAATTTGCAAAACATATTTCGAACAACCGTTGTATTTTTGTCCTTATGTGCTTTTTTGTGTCCTTGAACACGGGACTTCTTTGTTATTTTGTTTTCGGAAATTAAAAAAAAAAATTGGAAATAAAAAAAAATGATAAACCACATTCAAACAATTATTACCTTTCTGTTATACTTTTACAGCAGTAGCTTACCTAACTTGATTATTTTAACAGTGTCATAAACCATGAGTTTAGAATTATTTAGTTTGTGGACCTATATGTTGATTGGTTAATGTAGTAACTTCATTTCCTGCAACGATTTCCTGAAGTACACTAGGCAGAACAATGCAGCAAAGGGTATTGAACTATTCGTTAGTAGTGATCATCTTAAATTCCCTCACGCAAAAGTTTCCCTTGTAACTTGTAAAGCTGGCCCCGACCAATTGAAGATGGATAGAGAGCTCAGAATAATGATGTGGTTCAACAGACATACAGATATGAATATGGCCATCGTACAATTTTGAGCACTGTCATGAAGACCCAATTAGAAGTTGCATTTCATTAAAACAAATTACATTGAATGTATGAAGATTTATCAGTTAATTTGTATTGTATTGAGTGAATGAGGATTTTGAACATGTTCAAAAGCAATACTTATATTATATCATTTTCCTGGTTTGATGTGGGGTATATTGAGATGATACTATGGCTAAAGAGCTGAAACAAGTATTAGGCCTATATCTGACAAAAAAAAGTTATTCTTAGCGGCAGAAACGGTGGTGGCTGGCACTGGCAGCCCTTGTCGGTGAAATTGACACACAGATAAAATATCGAAAATGATTTAACTATATGGACGTTATTATAAGTTTACTGACTTATCCTTTATTGGTCATTGTTATCCGGTAAACAGGTGATATACATGATGGGAAAAAGAACATCAACTACTTTAGGACTCTTTATTGTAATTATAAATATTGATATTAAACTTTCTGATTTTCTTTAGAAAATAATAATTAAAAAATATATTGCTTCCAATGGGATTTGAACCCAGGAACGTAAGGTTGCAAATATCGACAAGCAGCGTCACAGGGGGCATCTCGGCGCGATTGGGGACAGTATCTTAAGTCGTCATGAGAATATTAACATGACTGCTTAATATTCTACGACCAAGTCCCAGACGCGTATATATATTTTTTAATAAAATGTACAGGGTAATTACCATAATAGGCTGTGTTTACGACGGGGTCACAGAGATCACACATAGAGAAACTTTAGACGATCTTGGAGCAAGTAGGCTTAGTAGGTCGAGCGAAACGACAATGCTGGCTACAGTATTCAATTGAATTATAAATTTACATTATAGTGTTTGATACGATTTCCATTAGAATAGAGACATCAAGTAATCAATGACATTAGATAAAGAAATGCAGACTTCAAGAGCAGAATGTTCAAGTCGACAAACAAGGCCAACATGATACAAAAGACACATAGAGACAAAATATATAAACCAAAGATATAATATTTCCATGTTTATTATCTCATTAACTACAGTATAAAATATATTTATAGTAACGTAACAAAACTGTATTATAAATGACACGTAGGCCTATATTAACTCACGATGTACTATATAATACTATAGAAAGTCCTATGAATTGCAGAAAATAAAATGAATCAAGGAATTATGATGTAGCCAGCTATCATGACAGTTGGGACAGTCCCACGCAATTTTTCTATTGGGTCCACAAAGAATGGGTTCACATTTTAAAAATGGATCTAAATTATGCTGTTTTATGGGCAAAATGACTCCACCCTTCGAAAAATGGATCCAGATTTCTAAAATTTTGCCTAAATTGGGTCTAGATTATTCATATATTTGCGTAAAATGGGTCAACTTTTAAGAAAATGGGTCCACATTATTTGAACTTACGCATTGGCCTAAAGTGGATCCACCCTGATACTGTCCCATACTGTTTGAAAATCCTGAGATATTGGGTACATGATCATTATTATGAATCATCAGCATTATGATTCAATGTAACAATATGTGTGTCGCTCAAAGATTACATTGCCACATATTTTACGTGATTACTTTAAAACTAACATTTTGATTTGTATTAGGATCAGAATGGCACCCATCGCTTTGACGGTGCACTTAAAACTGTTGTTAGAAATTAAATATCTTACAATGAATATTTAATTTAATAATCAAATATTTTAATTGATTTATCATGATGGTTTGTGACAGCAACTCTCTTTGGATAATGAGAAATTATTGTTAATCCCTGAGGATTGTTGATTCCATCTTCTGGTTTGTCAATTCTTTTGATAAAAGATCCATCCCCACTAAATAGCTGTATCTTGTTGATACTTGATAGGATTATATTGTCATCATCGTCTACTACAACTCCACTAGGTTTAGTTACCCTATTTGACCCTACCAGTACTTTCATAAACTGTTCTTTATCAAATAATTCAAGTCTACTGTAGTTATAATTTGATACAGGCAAGTTCCCGTTTTTTGTAAAGGTGATATCATTGTATCCTTTTTCTTTTACATAAGTTCCTGATATTCTGGTGACTAAATTATTGTTAATGCCAAACATAAGCAAACGCGTATTGGAGAGTCCGGCAGCGTAAATTTTTGTTGAATCCTTGTTTACTTCGACCCCAGATGGATGATTTAACACACCTTTTCCGATTGTCATCATTACATGGCCGTTCATTGTACATATTTTAATGCATTGATCATCACCGCTATCACTGAATGCTAAGTTACCATTCTTCATTTTGCACATTCTATTAACCCTTACACCTTTTGGTAGTGTTATTTTATCAAAGTATTCGCCGGATATCTTATACTTGTATATTTCATCTTTCCCAAATGAAACAAATAAGCAGTCATCCTCTTCACACCATACAACACCAGTCACTTTTTCATCTACTTTAATTGTGTTCACCAATTTATCTTCACGTACACCCATCGTTATTGGAGATTGCTGGCTTGGTTCATCATCGGTATTCACTAATTTTTCCACCTCTACAGTTATCGTCGTTGGGGACTGCTGTATTGCTTCACCGTCAATACTAACATCTAGTTAACATCAATACTTGTACACACTAGTTTTATAAGATAATCTCCGTTATCCTCTTCTTCAACTTGAGTCAAGTTAGTGGTTACTCCTGAAGAATCTGTCAATGTTGCTTTCAGTTGATTTACATAAATTTTAGATTTTTCTGTTTTTACTAGTTTGAGGCTTATTGTTTGGTATTGTATCGCATATATCTGCCTCTCACTCTCAATTCTTAAGCAATGTGCTACCCCCTTTTCACTAACTTTTCCAATTCCATGATTTTTTAGTTCAGTAATTTGATGTTTGTTTTGAAAAAAATATATTTCCCCATTATTGGTTGTATCTTCATTATCAAATGAAGTTTGCGGTTGCTCGATTGCTACTCTCAATGCTGTTAAAACTGTTACACTTGACTGCAAAGCCGTTGACTCATCGGTTTTAAATAACTGATCAAGAAAATACAATTTTGATTTTACATCAGACACTGTTTTTCTAAGTTTATGAATTTTTACATCATTTTCATTATTTTTCTGTTCATGTACATTCTCCACCTTCATTTTTAATTGTGTTCCTTTAGAGTTAACAATTTCGACCATTTCTTTCACATGATTGTTAATATATTTGAAACATATCTCTTTATTATCATTTGATTGTTCAGCATCCCGCAGACGTTTTGTGATGCCAGCTTGTGCTGTGGTAATATACTTATTGGCATTTTCTGTCAGCTCAAAAGCATTATCTTTAAATTCATTGTATGCTTCAGATATATTGATAGGTTTATGGCTTCCGTCGTATCCCACGTTATGATCAGTAATAGCACAGTGCATACATATCACAGTTTTACAATTTTTGCAGTAACATATTAGGGGTTTATTGTGAAGGGAACATTGTTGGCGATGTAAAGAAGAAAATTGAAGTGGTGTCATAGATCGCACATCTTCCATTGAGTGTATTATGTGACTTGTTAAAGCTGGGAATCTCTTGTGATGATCATAGCAAACAGAACAAATGCACTCTCTGCATTCCTGACAATAAAATGTTGCTTTTATTCCTTTTTCACATTTGCATTCCAATGTTTCTGCTTCCTCCATCTTTTCAATACTTTCTAATAAATTGTTGATGAAAGTATTTGGCAATAGCTTCTCCAGCCCGTCCTCGGAAATGGGATATGATTTAGAGCAAGTTGGGCAAATCAGCTCACCTTTCGCCTTTACCAAGTCTTGTAAACAATGCAAACAAAAACTATGAAGACAGTTTAAGGATTTGGGCTGTTGAAGCCTTTTGAAGCAAATTGAGCATTCCAAAACTTTTTCTTCAAGATCATTTAGAAATTGATTTATCTTCTTTTCAGCCATTTTAAATGTATTCTTCTAGAAATAAATCTGCAGTATAATCTAAAAAAAAAAAAAAATGATAACGAATCTTTTCATCACAAACATCTGGCAGTATGTTACATACATACATACATACGTATATATATATATATATATATATATGTACCACTTCGGTTGCAAAACGCACCTCCCCATCGAAAATCCTGCCTCGGGCCTGTTATATTCATGTGTGGTAGTTTTAGGGGACATGTAAATAGTATTTAAATATTCTATTGTACAAAATAATGGTACTCACATTTCGAACTTGTCCTAAGAAACTTATTTTAGCGATGTTCTGTTACAGTTCTTATAAACCTTGCTAAATTTAAACCTGAATTGGAAATGATTCACTTCTGTGAAGTAATTTGTCGATTGCTTAATGCAATATTGACTGTAATTTCCTGTGTTTTTGAAGTATGACAACCACACTGTTGGCTGGCAGCCTGGCAGAACAATGTAAGGGATGGAACTATTCTTTAGTATTGCTTATCCTACCCTCTCATTAACTTTCACTAAAAACTTAGCCCCTTAACAACATACTACTTGTAAGCCAGGCTCAAATTCACCACTAAAATTTACAGATAGAGAGCTCACAATAAGTGTGTAACGGACACAAATAGTTTTTGGCATGTCATGGACCCAATTAGAAGGTGCATTTCATTGGAACGAACTGTATTGAATGAAGAAACATAATAATCAGTTAATTTAATAGGTTAGATTATTAACAATGTAGGCCTACACGTCAAATATTTTATATTATTTCACTTTAATTTTGTTATTTTCATTTTATATTATTTGATTTTCCTGGTTTGCTGTGAGGTATATGGAGATGCTATGACACAAAAGCTTGCAATTATTCTAATTAGGCAAGCAAAAATTTGATTATACAAAAACTATCCTTGGCAGTAGAAGTGACAGTGGCTGGTACTGTTTGAACAAACGTTTAGACCCGGACCGCATATCCAGCCTATGTGCGGTGTACGGAAACCAAATAGGCCTATATATTATAGGCCTAACTCTAATAATAATTCTAAGTCGATCAAATTGTTGGTTTCCATTAAAAATCTGTCGAATTTTAGTCGAACAATTTTGGATTCGACTTCAACTGTAAATATTATTTTCTGTGTTTAATTAGGCCTAGTTATACTACATTTGTTATTATTATCATACTGACTGCTATCGTGGAAGTAAGCAGGACGAGAAAGCATCACGCACAAAAAGCCCACCCCCCACCCCTCCACAAAACAAAAATAAGAAACTTGTGCTCACCACCCTACACGTCCACTCAGCAAAAATATTAGGCCTTGCACTCGAGAGTTAATGATCAACTCAATGGGCTTCTATTCGATGTTTTACGGTATTATGGTTATGAATGGACATACAAAAAACATACCGCAAGCTTTGCCTTTATTACATCTATGTATATAGGATCGAAATATCATGTTATAAACAACTAAATAGGCCTAAACAAAATAATTATTAGTTATTTTTGATACAAAACTTGAAAAAAAAAATATGACATTGAAGTTCTTTGTCTTTCTCTTTATGGTTTTGAAATACTTTTTCTTTCCCTTTATGTTTGATAATTAATGAGTCAGAAAAAAAGAACGTATAATGAAAAACTAGTTTTAAAAATTGTTCACAACAGAAGGAAAAATTATTTTGAAACGGCATGTAGTTCAAAATAAGTTTTATTGCTTCACTGAAGGATTTTTGATATTCTGTACACATTACATTTCTCAAATAATATAGAAAAATGTTTTAATCAAAATTACATATACAAGCCCAAACTGTCAAGTCGGGGGTTAATTTTTATTACTATTCGTTAGTACTCAAGGATATAGTGTTACCTATATGATATCCCATCATTATCACATTCATAACATTTCATTAAGAACTTTATTTTCAGTTTACATCCAATAATTGTCAACTATCCTCATGTAACCATTCAACCCTATACATATATTTTGTTTCATGTCCAGACCTATATGTATAGAAACATCCCTGTATGAGTATGCACTGTTTGGACATCACATGTATGTACACATCCTGAACAATATTACATATCCATAAATACAATCCATCATATTTCAAAATTTAAAAGTCATGAGGGAATTACTACTTTGGGAGAGGGTGCGCAAGGGTATGCAGAATGGACTAACTGGGGAATTGGGGTCATCTAGATCCGCTGACGTAGTTTTGGGAAGAGCCGGTCGTAAATTTTATATTTAGTACAATTTTGAAAAATGTTAATTTCCTTTAAAGTGGGGTAGTTACACACCCATCGCACTCGCGTTGGATAGGCCTGGTCACACTGGCTTCAGCATAAATAGAAATTAAAAAATTAATTACATTTAGCCATCTTCATGCCTTCAGAACTTAAACATTTTCATAAATAACATTGCTCTGTACATTACACCTAAAATTATATTATCCAAACACGCCGAATTGCATTGAAACGAAATGAAAAAATTTTAACACCCTAGACCTAGCTACAATGGTGCAGTATATACAAACTCTCATTAAATGTACTTTCTATTTAAATATAGTTATTATTTATCTTTTAATTCGTGAAGAGGATTTACAAAGTAAATTCAATATTAAATTGTATTGTTCAACTCAAAAGTATTATCTTTTAAAGGAACCCATAGTTATAATTGTCTCAATTATTGGAATACCCAGATTGAATCAACTGATCAGTTAAATTGAAATAAACTCTAAATAATAAAATGCTAAATTATGAAATAGTGCATGAATATTTTAAATCAATTTTAAGTAAGCTTGTTAAATTAATTGACCAATATACAGTATTAATCATTCATAAAATATACTGTACTCAAAAAATAATATAAATAAAAACACTTACAGAATCAATTCTTTAATCGTCTATTGCACACCAGCTCTAGTTTTTAAAAGAAATGTTTTGAGTAAATTTTCGCTACATAATATATTTGTTATTGCATTGAATTTAGGGATTTACGAAAGTTTAATAAATGAGTATAAGGCCAGTTCGGAGTTTAATCTACGTGACCAACAATCCAATTTCAAGACAAACCTCTAATTTTCGCCTACTTAAAGCAGTAAAAGTCTACAAACTTAAATAAATAAAAAGGACACAAATTTGCAATGTTACTAAAGTTTTTCTTCGGAGTAAAATATTAAAAATTGAAACTTAATACTTACAGCTTATTGCTGTTAAATTTATTAATAATATACTTGTAAAATCACTAACATAATTTGATTTATATTTATTTCTGATAATTCTAATACTGTATGTACAACATAATTATATGTCTATCTACTAAATTTAATAACATAGTTTGCTGTCTTAATTTAAACCAAGGTATATTCCAAACTGTCTAAGCAAATATTATATGCAGTACATCATTGCCTGACTTTCCACAGACATTTGTTTAGATAAGTATCAGACAACAGTCCAATCAAACTTTTTGATTTCATTACAAATGTGGAATACAAATTTTGGATAGGAGTGCAGGGACCCACGGTGACCAACATGTAATGAATACATTTCTCTCTTGTCCAGCTCAACTCTTGTGTGAGGGATATTCAAGCAACCTGACCTATAGCCAGCTTTGACCCTGAGTTTTCAGTGCTGGCAAGAACAAAATTAACCTCTAGGCCAAATACTCATCTCCTTACAGGTATGCCTGGAGTAAAAATACTGTCTACATACACCCTAAATTCAGCTACTGTTCATTATAATTATAACAAATATTATCTTAAAAGTATTTTTCTATAGTATTAAGCAAGTTGGATACCAACTCCTTATCCACGATTCACTCATCGTCATTAATATATTAATTCTACTATTTATAAGTAAAATATTTAATTTAATTTTTTAATAATCAATAGTAATAATATCGGTATCGTTATATGACATTTCTGAGGATGGACTAGAATTAGGCACTTACACAGATGAACATAGACAGTTTTCAATTTTGTTAACATTTTCATTTCAGTATACTGTTTAGATATAAAAAGGTACACAATAAAAAAAATAATAATATAGAATTAAAACAAAATTGTGCTCAATCTTAAGTTGTAATTTAGTTCAGATGAATACAAAAGAGCAATAGCTGATTTACATACACAAATGAAATCTAAAGATTAAGTTTATTGAAAAATTCTGTTAAAAAAAACCATACAGAGGTAGGAGCATAACATTTGATTGATGGAAATTTTGAAGAATTCTGAAACTTTTAACACAGCACCTTCTAGACTGATGAAAACCTTAACCAAATATCAACTGTATTATAGTATAAAGCCGGGCACGCACTGCGGCCAACGGTCGTCGGCTGACGAGGTTCTATGGAGAACGCAAAGCGACGGCGCGCGTGCATCGGGTCGTTTTTAATGACGATCCATTCAGACAGCCACCGACAATCAGTAGAGGGCGTCGCGTGTTTTAGCACATACGGGAAGCGGAGTTGGATTCGTCGTACGATAAAGTGAGTGCCCGGCTTAACACTCAGAAGAATGGTCTTCGCACATTTGGTCCTAAAGAGACACAAATATATAACATACTTCTACAAAAATAGTAACATTACATAGCTTTATAGCACAGAGAACCTCAGAGCAAAACTATATATGCAGAATTCAGAGATTATACTTCATGGTTATTCAAGGAAATCTTAGTAGATGTTTTTCAAACTACCTAAGAAATTGTTTAGTATGTTTAAAATCTTTGGCACATCTTGAAGAACAAGATATCATCTACTTTAGTTTTTTCTTTGGCTGTTTGTCTGAGGTATCACTGGCCAATGGTAAACCTCTGTAGAGATTATACAACGTAATCCTATTGGGTATAATCTGTGGTGGAGTGTACAGCATAAAAAGCTGTGTTTTACTATAAACTGGAAGCTGGTTCTGACATGGAATCTAGATGCTTTTGAAGAATCACGCTACTCCTCCACTCTCAATTCTGACGCCGTTCTTTCATAAGAACACAGAACCGTTTCAGCTGCTCATAGAAGACAAACATACAGATGTTCCAGGAGCCAAGTCGGATAAAATTTGGCATGAACCTAAAAGATGAAAAATTGATAGGTGAATTAATAAATCAAGATATATTGAACAAAGTTAACAATTTTACATGGATGAAGCCTGACTTTACTAAACTGATTCAACAAGTTGGTTGCCAATTAAGATGGAAGGTGTAGGTCATTTTGTTGGACATATAGGACAAACTTTATAAAGAATTATCTGTGACAAAAAATAAAACAATTAACTTCTGAACATTTATGACCTGTATGAACAAAATGTAGCAATTTTTATGTTTAAATTTTTTAAAAATTACTTACCAGCTACCTTTGATACACTTTTTAACCATTTTGAAAATATTCATGAATATAATACAAGAAATAAAAATGATATGTATATACCAATAAAAAAATCTCAGTTTGGTCAGAAAAGTATATCATACCAAGGGTCAAAGATATGGAATAACATTCCACTAAGCTGCAATTAAATTTTGAATGAAAAATTTGACCGCTTGCGCTGGCTAGTATTGCAATTTTTGTTGGTAAGTCACTGCTCTACACTAATTTTCATTCTATATGCATCACAATCACAAGGATACATGGTCCCAAAAGTTAATTTGTGGGTCCTGTAATTATTTTTCCGTGATTTATTTAATACATACCCTTTGTAGAAGGCTATTGGTCCACCCTCTTTAAACATCGAAAATGCACAATCTAGTACTCCCTTGTACTTCCCTTTCCCTGAGTTCATAAATCTCGTTTTGACTACGTCAACTGGAGATGCTACACAAGTGGTGACAAATCCAGCACCGAAAGCAGACACAAAGTGACAGGGGAACTGGTCCTCTAACAGTCTCCTCTTCAAGATTTGTTCCTTTATCATGTCATATGCCACCAACTCACTGGCATTCACAACTGCATTGCGAGTGATATTGGGAATTGTACCTGTTGAGACATACAGAAACACATAAAATATGATGTAATAATTATAGAAATATAAAATATTGTTACCTGATGACTAAGTAAAGCTCTGTTTACAATACTATTAGTTTTATGTGAGAATGGATCTTTTTTAAGTGTCAATCAAATTTAACTAAACAATGTATATGATTTATCCTCAGAATGTGTGTCCCACACACGCAAGCCCATTTAATGTATACTTTCATTTTTAGTAGGACCTCAGCAACATTAGGGGTTTTAATGGAATGATCCATTTCTTGTGATTTGTCTATAGGTGTTATATGACAACCATGCCCATATCTTATGAAAATCACAGATATTTTTATAGAAAAAATATAGTATGGACACAGCCAAATGCTAACACATACTTGTACCTTCTACTATATTAGTACCTTCCATTATACTATAGCATCTTTGTTTAACAATTTTATTAAAAAAAACCCATTCCCATGTTGAAATCAGATTCATAGAATTGCTCAATTTATGAGTCTTTTTGAAAAGTATTAATTGTGCATGTTTTAAGGGAATAAATTAGATTCTGATTTAAATGTTCAAACCAAAGCTAATAATAATAATAATAATATTTTACACTTATTATTATTTATGATTATAATGCCAACATGGCCTCTAGCGCTTCACATTATTACCCCTGGTCATTGGATCAAGCACATATGGAGCACATACTCAGCTCCCTGTAAAGAATTCCATATTGTTGCAGCTGTAATCTGCGCACTTTGAACCTACCAGGTACCCAATTGAACTCCTGGGTGGAGAGAGACAACAGTAGGTAAAGTGCCTTGTCTAAGGACACAAGCAAAATGCACCGCGACGTTGAGAAGCACAACCGCAAATGCTGTGCTAAACCGCTCCTAATAACTAAAACCTTAGAATAAATGCACGATAGATAATGCACTATAAGTGCTGCATTATTCAAATTATTTCTATGTAAATATTATACAAATTAGATAAAAAATTAAATTTTATCATTGAGCTGAATAATGAGTGGACAGGTTGACATTTAAAATTAACTAACCTTTCCACAAGCCACGGAGACCTTCTTCCGTGAAGATTTTCTTGTATGCTTGTATAGTTCCAGTGTATCGCACTACCTTTTTGTCGGAGTTGTTCTGTGCTTGCATGCGGACTTTAACAACATCGGTTGGCTGTGCAAGGACTACAGCGCACCCTCCAGTAGTAATCCCAGCTGCTATACGTACCAGCACATTTGTCTTGCCACCGGCAAAATCTAAAGAAATGCAAACAAAGTTTTTAAACTTAGAAAAATATATTGAATAATAATTATCAGTAACTCATCAACATACACATCATTTTAATATACAGACTTTTTACAACATGAAATATAATAAGGTAGCACAGATCTTGTTGAATTTCATATGGTAGCAATTTTTATAAAGTAATTCTTTTATCTATTTAATAATATTTTCCTCTATGAAATAGGTTTTATGAGGGTTACAAAGTGAAGTTGTGCAAGTTGTGATAATAAATTCTGACATTTGAAAAGATTTTAAACCACGATCTTGTATAAGAAATCAACCATCTTTATCAAACTACTAGGTATTCAATATTTAAAGAAAAAATAGAGGGCGCCATTTAAATTATCCTCACCATATAATTCAGTACTGAATAAATATCATATCATTTCATAGATTTCATACCATTACCTTTATAAAATGAAGTACACATGCCAGTGAAATAATATTAGAAACTATTTCTACATTTTATGCTATACAGTGGTGCATCAAATAACAACTACAGTATTTCCCAAAGTTGATTTCATATTATGTTATTATTAGTAGCAAACAGTTTAGCATCAGTATAGATGAAATAAAATAATAATAATAATAATAACAGAATAAATGTAGAATTAATTTTTATTTATTATTACTAGTAATTCGTAAAATTTCACAAACACTCAATGCTTGATGTACAGTGTTTGCATATAATTTACATTTTGATTTAGTCACAAATATATCATTTATATTATCCCACTTCCACATCAAAGAGCTGCTGGTACATTAGGCCCTAGAACACTGAACCTGGTTGATGTTTGTTTGTCACAATCACCTTGGGGGAAGGCCTATTCTAGACCTAAAGCATGGTTTGCTTGGAGCATTATCTCTAATTTTAAATCATTCAAATGGATGAAAGATGAAGGAGAAATAATTAAGAAAAAAAATGAGGGAAAAATTTAAAGAAAAGATAGAAAACATTCCCAAACCTCATATAAAAAACACATACATCTCTTTATTTTTAGTAACTTTTCTTTGGATTATATTTAAAGCCAAATATCACAAAAACACTAAGCTAAGACTTACCTATAATGTGCAAACACACACACACTGTTTAGTGAAGCTTCACCCAAGATACACAATTTTACAAGCTGTGCTTACATGACCCAAAGCACTAAAATATTTACAGATTTTAAGAATAACATTCAAAGCAATGACTACTATCTTTCTTTACTCTATTTTAGGAAAATAATGTAGTGTAATATATTGTCTGTTATTATAACCATACCCCACAAAAAATCCAATTGTTAGTGCAAAATGTTAAATAATAAAAAAGTATCAATTCAATTTTGAAAATATTGAAACCCAGACGGCACCTGTGTATTTTTGTTTGACGGAATCATAGAGTCCAATTCGCACCGAGGCAAAACAGGCCTGGCGTTGGAGGCCTGCAACGAGACCATTATACATGCCACGGGCACCCTCTTGTTTCACTATAGTCACTAGAGTGCCGTAGACGCCCCGATATTGAAACTGTGCCCGTTGTTCGCTCAGGGCTGCGATGGACAACTTTCCCAGTCTCGTTCCTTCTCCTTGGATCTGAAATGAGCGCGCTTGGTTGGTATCCACACAGTACAATCACAAATTTCATGTTTTTTAAAACTCATAGATGAAAATTACATGAGATAATAGTTGACATGGTATAAGATATAATTTTAATTAAATTCCAATTTTTTTTACTATTATAAAAATACAGTATATGTAGTATTATTTATCAAATCATTAAATTTGTATCCAGACATTTTACTATTTTTTTCAAAATTTTAAAAAGTTTCAAAACAAAACTGAATAAGATTTTAGAAATTTGATAGATTTATTAGCATCAACATAAAATATTAAATTAATAGATAGTAAACTTAATTACAATTTTTATTATTTTTCTACAATAGGGACAGAGATAATGGAGAGGTATGAGAAATAATAGTTAAATTTGTCAATAAAAGAAACATGATTTTATCAGATATTTATCATCTGTAAAATATAATACATACTGTAATAATATACAGAAAGGCTTTAAATAAAAAAAAAAATAGAATGCAATCAAATCAATTATAAATGTCAAAGAATCAATAACATTGAAACAATTGATAGATAAAATTATTATAAATTATATTAATCTTATTTACACCAACAATAGGTAGACAGAAATATAGGATGGTATGTGAAGTGTTATAGTTACCTGTAGTCTGACTTTAGCAGTATCTAGTGGAAATGTGATGATGTCTGCCATGCAAGCTGCAGTACCAGCACTGACAAACTTCATTCCAACAGTGGGCTCAACATCGGTTGGTTTTAGACCAATATTCCCCATCCTAGTTTTTGTAATTGATTGGTAAGCGTTCCAAGTTAATAAATATCAGGATTGGTAAAGATAAAGGCAAGCGATCACACACAAGTGAATCTAGAAGTATATAAAAATTACAAAAATCCACAGTATTAGGAGAAATACAATAAAAACATAGAGCTCAGTAACATGTCATGGGGAATGTCAAGAAAATTTTGCCAACTATCTTGAGACCAGCAATAACACAAATATTGCACGAGCATACCAGTAAAAAATGTGTAAGAATAACAAAGAGTTCTTTTAGAATTGCTGGTATGGTACATTATTTTGAATCCTTTAGGATAATATTAAGGAATAAAACAAGGATTATGTAATTCAGAATTACATTATTATTTAAAATACAAGTCTCCCTCTTATTAAAGACCCCTCCAACTAAAGACCACCTCCAATTAAAAACCACTTTTCTATGGTCCTATATTAACAAATGTCTTTTTATGTTTATTATTCTAAGGAGAGACCAAAGCTACTGAAGACCATAGGAACCCTGGTCCCAAAAGTGGTCTTTAATTGGAAGGAAACCTGTATCTAGGCAATCAGTGATGCAATCAGTATCTAGGCAATCAGTGATGGTGATGTACTAATTATCCCATGGGGAGATGTGTGTTCCATACAGTAGGTATTTGACCTATTGACCAGGGAAATAATGATAAACGCCTAGAGCATTAATAAACTCTGGCATATTACACAGTTTGTCAAATAGAAATCCATATAGTAATCTAAAATTAACAAAATGATGATACCAGCAATGGAATGTACAGTACTTTTTTTTTCTCTTTTAAGGAAACAAACAATTATGCATGTAACCTACACAGTGGCCTAATGCCTAGAGCTCTCAAGGAGCGAATGCCTTCTTAACAGCACTTTTGACATTATGGTCCAGGAAGACATCCAAAACTAGCAAATTATGTAATACTGTACCACATGTTTAACTCACGAATGTCCTAAAGTGGACTCATATTTATGACAACACTATACAATATCAATTCCTGACCCAAAATGTTCCACAGCTGGGAACTACTACAAACTGAAATTTAAAATACTCCGATATAATGAAGTAAAGGGCTACTAGAATTCACAGAGACCAATTAAATTATATTATTAACAGGTTATGGTATTGTTTAATATTCCAATGTGAAGGGCCTCTCGTAATCGACTAAGCATGGGGCCGCCCAACATAGCCCCCAGGCCCCCATGACTCCTTGTTACGCACCACTGGACCTACAGTTAGTTACCTAGAGTAATTATATAAAATGGCAAGAATCAAAAATACTGTAGGTAAGTATTACTCAAATAATCCCCTTTGTGCGACATACAGTAGACAATGGTTGCATCTTAAAAAAGCATTCTTACTTTTTAGTATAAAATAATATAGTAAATCTGGCAAGAAATCAGGTGAAATATATATCAAAGAGAACTTTCTTGAGATTCTTCAGAATTCAGTCTTTCCCTAAAATTTCTTTCTGGTTGATAGCAAGAACTACGTAAACTGGCTTCAAGATTCTTGTCCATTTGATTTCAGATAAAATCACTTGAAATTGAATTCTGAAAATAAAAAAAATAATTTGATTAAATACAGTGATATTTAGATTTTCCCCTAGAACTAAAAATTTAACTTACTGTAACAAAAAAAGAATTCATACATTAATACTGTAAAACTACTTGTACCAGAAAGTCTAATTTTTATAATTGTGTTTGAGGCTTGATAAAGTAAAATAAATTTTGTTTCAAATACCAAGTGAATTGCCTCAGCATTGTTTTCATAAAAAGTGAAAGATTTTACATTTAGTCAAGAAGGTTTTTCATGAATATTAATTTCAAATGCACTTTTATCAATGGTCATTCCGCTACTGTGATTCCGCTACCGGACATGGTCTTATATTTTTATAAATATCTCCAAAAATATAAACATTTTTAAAAATTAATGTCTTGCATTCAATACTACACTAAATTATGATTAACTGAGATGTATTCAATTTTTAAATCACTTTCATAAATCAGAGGGTTTTAGTAAAATGTGAAGTGGTAAAAATAGAGGGTATTTTTTTTGTCTTTCCGCTACCATACATATTTTTTGATATAATATCAAAATTGTGATAGGTTTTTTAAAAAAAAACTAGGGTGGAAATTATAGATGGATTCCATAGTTATGTAAATATGATAATTATTCCAAGAATTAGAATGGAGTGTAAATATGACATTAGATTAAAGTTAAAAAGTTTAACTAGCTGTAGGATACTAAGTATATTTAAAGGATATGTACAGTTACTGTATTACTGTACAGCTTTAGTATTAAATTGTGGATTACTATAATTAGCTTTCTGAACATGATTTATTCCAACAATATTTTATGAGGATAACCTTTTCATCTCTGCAGTAATAGCTCCCGAGACCTACTGTAACTAATGTACTGCAGATGCCAGCCCTAAGTACTAATGTCAGCAGAATGTAACAGTTTTATAACATTGACTTGATTCCAGAAAAAAAAATCCATTAATTATAAAATAAACAATCTAAAAACTATGACTCAAGAAAATAAAGTACTGTACAGGCCTACAGTACATTAGGCCTATTTCTTAAATACAATATTACTTTGTTATTCGTATATCAACAATGTGGATGTTTAAATATATGGAATGAATAAATAAACGAACGAAGGAATGACAAATTCCAATACAACATGGTATATTACTACTGTACATAAAGCGCAGTGTCATGGTATAAGGATCCTATACTGTATGAGAATAAGTAGGGTCTACAGAAGGACAGTTGCGGGCATCTCCTAAAAATCAGACTTTAAAGTACAAAGTGATTTGGTCTACTGTATCCACTGCCTACAAATATTATTTTGTTTCTTGGAAGGTCAGGTGAAATTTTAATCAGGTGTAATATTAATTAATAAGAGATTGAATTATTCTATTCTTTATTGTCAAGCATGACATCACTTTTATGTTGCTATGTTATTGTTAAACCAGATGGTAGAAGTAACATTTGAGTCATCTACAGTATGCATGCATAATGTATTTATTAATGAAGAGGCACCATAGAGAAGATGACAATATAGTAAACAAAACAACCATGAATCTTCAGATTTTATATTAAATTTTCACACCAGTTGTGATACATAACAAATTCATCATGGTGCATTACGATTAAAATTGCTGGTAATTTGTTTATACCGTAGCATCTTGGGAAATGGATTGGCTGGGGTATACAGTATCATGCAAAGGTCCCCCACCCTTACTTCTTTTGAACATTTTGTAAAGCACAGTAATTTTAAACTGCATGTAGGGTCAAACTTGGATTGCATTTTCCTACATCTATAATACCTCAGTGTGAGTCTATCAGCCTGGGCAGAAAAAAACAGCTAGGTATAGGTATACTACAGGACAGTATACAGTATTTACCTAGGAATCATACTGTAGACCCTATATTATGATTTTCGCTATCATAGGCCTACAGGTTACATAAAATATTTTGAAATCTACAGAAATGAAATTCAGATTATGGTGTAATCTTTTTTCTTTTTTACTAATTGTTTTTGACACAACAGTGTAGGCAATCAAACAGACGCAAATAAAGCACAGTCAACTGAGCTTGCTCAACAGGGGGTCAAAGGGAACAATAAGGAAGGTATCAACTATATTGGAACATAATTAGACTTGGTTAAGATGCTTGCCTTCCAATCCCATGCAGTGGGGTATCTAGGAATCTTGAACTGGGGGAGGGGGGAGAGAGAAGTGATGCGAGGAAACTGATAGGGGGGAGAAAGTTAAGCGGGGGTTTGATGAAAAGTGAGAGTAACTTTCTCATAAAATAAGGTGATAAGAGGAAATTTTTAGCCACTTGAGTGTGATTTTTTTTTTTTTGCTTCGAAACATTTTAAATTTTAATTCCTGTCAATGTTATTGTTACAAGGTTTTTCCTTTCATTACGACCTACAAATATTTAGTTATGTTTGACTTTTGAAAGGAATTGCCACCCATGCGTAGGACAGTGATTATGTTTGCCTAGTACAATGGATGCATATCTCGCTATATGTACTGTACTCTAGTATTATATTTTAGATTTGAATTTGAATGCTCACTGTACACTTGCGCGAGGACGATTGAAAAAAATGGCAATATGTTAAAAAAAGAATTGGGGCGTCTCAGCATGGGGTATGGTCCACTGTACTGGATTTTTTTTTACCCGGCCAATGAAATGAAAAAGATCACACATAGTTTTAGTTGTGTACATAAGGTTCTGCGAAAAATATAATGTACGATAGTAATGTCAATTGTCTAGTTTGAGGTTGCAGATTAAACCATTAACCAAAACAGACTTGAATTTGAATGCTCTGTACTGTGTGAGGATGATTGAAAAAAAATGACATTATTATATTAAAAAAAGATTTGGGGAGTTCCAGCATGGGATTAAACAAACATGGTCCACTGTAATTTTTTTTTAGCACCTGGCCAGTGAAATGAAAAACATCACACCTAGTTTTAGTTGTGTGTACATAAGATTCTGTGAAAAATACAATATATAGTAATGTCAATTGTTTATTGCAGATTAAATCATTGACCAAAACAGTTTTTTAAATAATTTTTCATACAGTAATACTTTCTCAGGAGTTTAAATATATCCATAATTGTCCACTTTCAATTAACTTTTTTACCTAGACCCATAATTAGGCCCCTCTAGCCACCATCTGCAATTGACAAACTCCGTAATGGTGTTTGCCAAGTGCTCCATAAATGCATCCTAGAGTCACCTCTGGTCATGGTCGCGTTTGTGATTGCTTTGTTTGTATTGGATAAATATTGACCAGGCGGAAGACTTCTCTACCTTCATCAAGTTAGTATACCGCACATATGTGGGCAGTCTTTTGTGGATATACTACTGTACATTAGTTTAATCTTCCTGGGCAACTAACGCACACTGTCATTTTGACCAAATACTGTATATTCTGGACAAAGATTTCGTAAGAGTCAGTGGACATATTTTGTTAGTACTTACTAAATTGTGAATTAACATGTTTGATTTGCTAAACAAGGTGAATGAAGTGTAGCAAAGATAATTCAATCTACCAAGGTTTCATGCATTTTTTTTCCACAGTTCATTACCCTTTCAGGTCAGTTCAAGAGAGGAATTTTTTTCCAAAGATCAAAAGGTCAATATCTGGTGGGATATGCAAACAGGACTGGATAAGTGTGCGACGAGTGGTAGAAAAATCAGGCCTGGAAAAAATATTTTTGTGCCTCCAACCATAAAAATTATGTTGATCAAATGCCTCCAGCACCAAATGTTATCTTTACACTATGGGCCCGTTTATACAACACACCAATATCCGCATTCTCAGCCCGCCAAAGTTATGTGTGTAGTATAAACGCCGTCGGATTGCGTGTAATTACATTACCATCTGGCAAAGAGGCTACTTGACGAACCGGCCAAATTTGGCCGGTTCGTCAAG